AAAAAAAATAAAAACAAATGAAAATTCGAATAGTTACATGTCATACAATTGAAGAAACAAAAAAAAATGGAAATTTAAAAAATTGCAAACCGAAAAATGGAAAAATCGAAAGATTAAAGCTGAGAAAGTTACAAATCGAAAAATTCAGAAAAATCGAAAAAATGCAAAATTGAAAAAAACGGAGTATATATATTGTAAAATAGAAATATGTATTAAAATGAAAGAAATTGGAAGAAAACGAGTAATTGGAAATCCAAAAATTTCTCAATTATCGGGCCTTCCGATTTCTTTAATTTCTAATACATGTGTCGATTCTACAATATTTCGTTTTTTAGATTTTGCACTTTTTCGATTTTTCAGTTTCTTAATTTTTATTCTCTTGATTTTTCTATTTTTCTTTGTTTCAACTTTTTAATTTTTTAATTTTCAATATTTGTTTTCATTTTATACTTTTTCGTTTTTTATTTTTCAAATTTACAATTAAAAAAACCTAGAAACTGTAAATTCGAAAAATTGCAAATCGAAAATCCGAAGAAACGACGAATTGAAACATTGAAAAACTAAAAATTGAGAAATTTAAAACTTGCAAAATTAGTGAATCGAAAAATTGGAAAGGAGAAAAAAATTATCGAATCGATACAAAGAATTGGAAAACCAAAAATTGTGGAATCGAAAAATTCTGGAATCGTCAAAATTGTAAAATCGAAAAACTAACACTGAAAGATCGGAAAATTAAAAAATTAAATATCGAGAAATTCAAAAATTAAACATCGGAAAATTGAAAAAGTGATTTTTTTTAAATTGAGATTATTATTACATATTTAAAATGAAAACCAGAAAAATTAGAAATCCAACATTGAAGGAAACGAAAAATAAAAAAATCTGAAAGTTGAAAAACCAAAAAATTAAAAACCGAAAAGTGGAAATCGATAAATTGTAAAATCTACAAAGTGATACATCAAAAAAAAATAAATAAAAACAAATGAAAATTCGAATAGTTACATGTCATACAATTGAAGAAACAAAAAAAAAATGGAAATTTAAAAAATTGCAAACCGAAAAATTGAAAAATCGAAAGATTAAAGCTGAGAAAGTTACAAATCGAAAATTTCAGGAAAATCGAAAAAATGCAAAATTGAAAAAAAAGGAGTATATATTGTAAAATAGAAATATGTATTCAAATGAAAGAAATTGGAAGAAAACGAGTAATTGGAAATCCAAAAATTTCTCAATTATCGGGCTTTCCGATTTCTTTAATTTCTAATACAAATGTCGATTCTACAATATTTCGTTTTTTAGATTTTGCACTTTTTCGATTTTTCAGTTTCTTAATTTTTAATCTCTTGATTTTTCTATTTTTCTTTGTTTCAACTTTTTAATTTTTTGAGTTTCAATATTTGTTTTCATTTTATACTTTTTCGTTTTTTATTTTTCAAATTTACAATTAAAAAACCTAGAAACTGTAAAATCGAAAAATTGCAAATCGAAAATCTGAAGAAACGACGAATTGAAACATTGAAAAACTAAAAATTGAGAAATTTAAAACTTGCAAAATTAGTGAATCGAAAAATTGGAAAGGAGAAAAATATTATCGAATCGATACAAAGAATTGAAAAACCAAAAATTGTGGAATCGAAAAATTCTAGAATCGTCAAAATTGTAAAATCGAAAAACTGTAACACTGAAAGATCGAAAAATTAAAAAATTAAATATCGAGAAATTCAAAAATTAAACATCGGAAAATTGAAAAAGTGTTTTTTTTTAAATTGTGACTATTATTACATATTTAAAATGAAAACCAGAAAAATTAGAAATCCAACATTGAAGGAAACGAAAAATAAAAAAATCTAAAAGTTGAAAAACCAAAAAATTAAAAACCGAAAATTGGAAATCGATAAATTGTAAAATCTACAAACTGATACATCAAAAAAAATAAAAACAAATGAAAATTCGAATAGTTACATGTCATACAATTGAAGAAACAAAAAAAAAATGGAAATTTAAAAAATTGCAAACCGAAAAATTGAAAAATCGAAAGATTAAAGCTGAGAAAGTTACAAATCGAAAAATTCAGGAAAATCGAAAAAATGCAAAATTGAAAAAAAAGGAGTATATATTGTAAAATAGAAATATGTATTAAAATGAAAGAAATTGGAAGAAAACGAATAATTGGAAATCCAAAAATTTCTCAATTGTCGGGCCTTCCGATTTCTTTAATTTCTAATACATATGTCGATTCTACAATATTTGGTGTTTTAGATTTTGCACTTTTTCGATTTTTCAGTTTCTTAATTTTTAATCTCTTGATTTTTCTATTTTTCTTTGTTTCAACTTTTTAATTTTTTAATTTTCAATATTTCTTTTCATTTTATACTTTTTCGTTTCTTATTTTTCAAATTTACAATTAAAAAAACCTAGAAACTGTAAAATCGAAAAAGTGGAAAATCGAAAATCTGAAGAAACGACGAATTGAAACATTGAAAAACTAAAAATTGAGAAATTTAAAACTTGCAAAATTAGTGAATCGAAAAATTGGAAAGGAGAAAAAAATTATCGAATCGATACAAAGAATTGGAAAACCAAAAATTGTGGAATCGAAAAATTCTAGAATCGTCAAAATTGTAAAATCGAAAAACTGTAATACTGAAAGGTCGAAAAATTAAAAAATTAAATATCGAGAAATTCAAAAATTAAACATCGGAAAATTTAAAAAGTGATTTTTTTTAAATTGTGATTATTATTACATATTTAAAATGAAAACCAGAAAAATTTGAAATCCAACATTGAAGGAAACGAAAAATAAAAAAATCTAAAAGTTGAAAAACCAAAAAATTAAAAACCGAAAATTGGAAATCGATAAATTGTAAAATCTACAAACTGATACATCAAAATAAAAACAAGTGAAAATTTGAATAGTTACGTGTCATACAAATGAAGAAACAAAAAAAAAAGGAAATTTAAAGAATTCCAAACCGAAAAATTGAAAAATCGAAAGATTAAAGCTGAGAAAGTTACAAATCGAAAAATTCAGAAAAATCGAAAAATGCAAAATTGAAAAATAGAAATATGTATTAAAATGAAAGAAATTGAAAGAAAACGAGTAATTGGAAATCCAAAAATTTCTCAATTATCGGGCTTTCCGATTTCTTTAATTTCTAATACATATGTCGATTCTACAATATTTCGCTTTTTAGATTTTGCACTTTTTCGATTTTTCAGTTTCTTAATTTTTAATCTCTTGATTTTTCTATTTTTCTTTGTTTCAACTTTTTAATTTTTTGAGTTTCAATATTTGTTTTCATTTTATACTTTTTCGTTTTTTATTTTTCAAATTTACAATTAAAAAAACCTAGAAATTGTAAAATCGAAAAATTGCAAATCGAAAATCTGAAGAAACGACGAATTGAAACATTGAAAAACTAAAAATTGAAAAATTTTAAACTTGCAAAATTAATGAATCGAAAAATTGGAAAGGAGACAAAAATTATCCAATCGATACAAAGAATTGGAAAACCGAAAATTGTGGAATCGAAAAATCCTAGAATCGTCAAAATTGTAAAATCGAAAAACTGTAACACTGAAAGATCGAAAAATTAAAAAATTAAATATCGAGAAATTCAAAATTTAAAAACCGAAAAATTGAAAATGTGAAATTTTTAAACAATTATGATTATTATTATTACATATTTAAAAGAAAACTTGAAAAATTGTAAATCAAAAACTGAGAAACGAAAAATAAAAAAATCTAAAAGTTGAAAAACCAAAAAATTAAAAACCGAAAATTGGAAATCGATAAATTGTAAAATCTACAAACTGATACATCAAAAAAAAATAAAAACAAATGAAAATTCGAATAGTTACATGTCATACAATTGAAGAAACAAAAAAAAAATGGAAATTTAAAAAATTGCAAACCGAAAAATTCAGAAAAATCGACAAAATGCAAAATTGAAAAAAACGGAGTATATATTGTAAAATAGAAATATGTATTAAAATGAAAGAAATTGGAAGAAAACGAGTAATTGGAAATCCAAAAATGTCTCAATTATCGGGCTTTCCGATTTCTTTAATTTCTAATACATATGTCGATTCTACAATATTTCGCTTTTTAGATTTTGCACTTTTTCGATTTTTCAGTTTCTTAATTTTTAATCTCTTGATTTTTCTATTTTTCTTTGTTTCAACTTTTTAATTTTTTGAGTTTCAATATTTGTTTTCATTTTATACTTTTTCGTTTTTTATTTTTCAAATTTACAATTAAAAAACCTAGAAACTGTAAAATCGAAAAATTGCAAATCGAAAATCTGAAGAAACGACGAATTGAAACATTGAAAAACTAAAAATTGAGAAATTTAAAACTTGCAAAATTAGTGAATCAAAAAATTGGAAAGGAGAAAAAAATTATCCAATCGATACAAAGAATTGGAAAACCAAAAATTGTGGAATCGAAAAACTGTGTCACTGAAAGATCGAAAAATTAAAAAATTAAATATCGAGAAATTTAAAATTTAAAAACCGGAAAATTTAAAATGTGAAATTTTTAAACAATTATGATTATTATTATTACATATTTAAAGTGAAAATTAGAAAAATTGTAAATCAAAAACTGAGAAACGAAAAATTAAAAAATCTGACAGTTGAAAAACCGAAAATTGCAAATCGAAAGTTTGATTCTATTTAACGTTTTTACGTTTACTTTTTATTTGCTATTTGATGACATTTGTAAAAACTACCAATCTTGAAATTATAGATTGTACCAATTGTCTGAGTCAAGTAACGGATAAAATAAACGTCAAAATTGTTTTTCATACGTAGAACGTGATTTATTCAACAATACCCATATTTCGGGGGGGCGTCAAGTTGTCTTCAGCTTCACAAATAGTTCATACACTTATTATCACTGTCAAAATTTAAACTTCAAATGTTGGAATCTGACATTTGTCGTACCAACCTCGATAAAATTCCCCCAAATTCAAAAAATTTTTTTTTATAAATTGCAGTTTGCAACGACAAGCTCACCCACAGCTACAAGGGTAGAACCGTGATGAACGAAGCCGAGCGCTACGAGGCCGTCAAGCACTGCCGCTACGTGGACGAGATCGTCCCCGACGCGCCCTGGGAGGTAGACGAAGCCTACATGCTAAAACACAAAATCGACTTCATAGCGCACGACGACCTGCCGTACGGAACCGACGACAGCAACGACATCTACGCGCCGTGGAAGGCGAAAGGCATGTTCGTGGCCACCGAGCGCACAGAGGGCGTCTCCACCTCCGACATCGTCGCGCGGATCGTCCGCGACTACGACATCTACGTCCGACGGAACCTGGCCCGGGGCTACTCGGCCAAAGACCTCAACATCTCCTACCTGAGCGAGAAGAAGATCCGCCTCCAGAACAAGATGCATGAACTCAAGGACAAGGGGCGGCGGGTGATAGACACCATCGGCGAGCGCAAGGACGACATGATAGCGAAATGGGAGGAGAAGTCGCGGGAGTTCATCGAGAACTTCCTCCTCCTGTTCGGGCGGGAGCGGCTCACCAACATCTGGAACGAGTCCAAGGGGAAGATCATGAACGCGCTGAGCCCGCCGAGCTCGCCGCTGCCGCCGGCGTCGCCGACGTCCAGCAACGGCGACTGCGACTTCGCCGAGGACGGGATTCCCCCGAGGAAGAACGCGCGGTACGAGTCGCCGTCGCCGTCGTCGTCGCGGACTAAGTACTTCGGGGAGGACTACAGCGACGAGGAGGATTGTTTGTTGCAGAACGGGCTTAAGCAGTAATGCGGTTGTTTTAACGTGAAATTTTGTGTATATTTGTCACGAATTAAATTATTTTAATATTTATTGAGAGGCGAGACGGTTATTTATTGCTTGTTGGCGGGCCGCGGTTTGCCGCCGCGGTACCTCGAGCCGTCCAGCGGGACGTTGGCGGGAAATCGCGGCCCGCGTTTGGTTACACTAGTTCACTGTTCTCTTTCGTTCATATGAAACATACTTATGAAGCATTGCCAAAATTATGTGCGCGTTTCAAAAACAAGGTCGTTTTGTTTTTGCGAGTCCGAGTTCCTCTTTATTTCGTACGTAAACTTTTTCTGTGTTATTTCCGAGCGGGGTTAGCTAGGAGCGAGTCATTAGTTTCATGATATTAGATCAAGTATTAACTTAAAGTGATAAAGTACGTTTATATTCTCCACGAGCGTGGTTACAATACTGCAGAACTGATAACAGCTTTATTATTTGTTGTACGTCATTATTAAACCTGGATGTGATCTACAAATATGATCCTATTTTTGTAGACTATTTACAAGCACTTTGTTTTGTAGTATAGGATTATAGCAATTAAATGAAAATATACTGAACCTATGCCAAAGGCGCGTTAGAAAGATTCCACTTTTTCAATAATCAAAACTCGATACAATTCCAAGAGATTTTTAACGGCGCTTTGGCATAACTTGTTTAGCACGTTTGCAAATATTGCGATTGTTTGCGGTTTTAGCAATACACACCAAATTGAATTGCAATTGACACCTTTTATCGTGCGAATCCCGTGGGACGTGGATGGCGGGTACGTGGATTTGCATAGAGGAACTGTATTGCCGAGTCTGTATGTATATTTTAACAATAAAGTCTTTTATTTAATGACTAGTTTTAATAATAAACCTATATCTGGATCGAACGAGTGTTTACACACTACTTGTTCGCAGCAGGGTAACAAGTCTTTTTTTAAGTTATAGTACATATTTCATGCATTATTTATAAATTTTGATGAGCTGACGTTGCGATTCTCCGTGCCAATTTTAAAATTTGTCTTACACGTGTTATAAACACAATGTGGAGTACTAAATAAGTCGAAGGAATTTATAGTTCACAGTAAATCAACAAATTAATAACTTTTTGACAAATCCATTTGCTGCAAATTTGAATCTAACTATTTTCCCGCGTCTCCCGATATTTAATTCTAATTGGCTAAAATTAAAAAAGGAATAAAACACCCTACATTTAAGCACGTATTACAATGTACTCCATTTTTTAAATAACCGGACGGAATAATATATATGTGTATTATGGGTTACATAATTTCGTCCGTTCCTTCAAGAAATAAAGCATGTTTAATTTATAGATACGTATATAATGTTATTCACTTTTTAAGCAAAAACAAGTACTTTACATTAACAAACAGCTTAAATGCAAATGCAAAACAGTTTTCTTCAACGTTAAAAACCTAGTTTGTTGACACTTGAATTGTTTATGTTACTGTTCTTGTTTTTAAAAGCACAACAGAAAGACTAAACAGCTATGTTAAATTCTGCACTCAGAAATATTATTATTATAATTTGAACTGAAAAAGTTTCAATTTTAAAAAAGTTGTCTAAAAATTATGAAAAAATTCATGGACGTAGATCTCGACACGCTGATTCCAAAAATATAGCATGTTGATGGTCACGAAGCAACATTTTCGAAAAAATCGCTGCGAAATACCAATTTTTGAAAATTTCAAAAATTTCGAAACTTCAACGGTCGATTCTGGAAAAACGGTTACAGGTATCAAAAAACCGAAGCCGGATTTGAGTTCTAGAGCTCGAAATCTACAAGAAAATGTATTTAGTTGAGTTTCGAAAATGTCAAAATTTTTGCGAAATTTGAAAAAGGGGGGACCACTGAAAAATTTCAATTTTAAAAAAGTTGTCTAAAAATTATGAAACAATTCAGGGACGTAGATCTCGACACGTTGATTCCAAAAATATAGCATGTTGATGCTCACGAAGCAACATTTTCGAAAAAATCGCTGCAAAATGCGAATTTTTGAAAATTTCAAAAATTTCGAAATTTCAAGTGTCGATTTTGGAAAAACGGTTGCTGGTATCAAAAAATCGAAGCTGAATTTGAGTTCTAAAACTCTAAATCTATAAGAAAATATATTTAGTTGAGTTTCGAAAATGTCAAAATTTTTGCGAAATTTGAAGAAGGGGGGACCATTAAAAAATTTCAATTTTAAAAAAGTTGTCTAAACATTATGAAAAAATTCAGAGACGTAGATCTCGACACGCTGATTCCAAAAATATAGCATGTTGATGGTCACGAAGCAACATTTTCGAAAAAATCGCTGCGAAATGCGAATTTTTGAAAATTTCAAAAATTCCGAAATTTCAACGGTCGATTCTGGAAAAACGGTTACGGGTATCAAAAAACCGAAGCCGGATTTGAGTTCTAGAGCTCGAAATCTACAAAAAAATGTATTTACTTGAGTTTCGAAAATGTCAAAATTATTGCGAAATTTGAAGAAGGGGGGACCGTTGAAAAATTTCAATTTTAAAAAAGTTGTCTAAAAATTATGGAAAAATTCAGGGACGTAGATCTCGACACGCTGATTCCAGAAATATAGCATGTTGATGGTCACGAAGCAACATTTTCGAAAAAATCGCTGCGAAATGCGAATTTTTAAAATTTTCAAAAATTTCGAAATTTCAACGGTCGATTCTGGAAAAACGGTTCCAGGTATCAAAAAACCGAAGCCGGATTTGAGTTCTAGAGCTCGAAATCTACAAGAAAATGTATTTAGTTGAGTTTCGAAAATGTCAAAATTTTTGCGAAATTTGAAGAAGGGGGGATTATTAAAAAATTTCAAAAATTTCGAAATTTCAACGATCGATTCTGGAAAAACGGTTACAGGTATCAAAAAACCGAAGGCGGATTTGAGTTCTAGAGCTCGAAATCTACAAGAAAATGTATTTAGTTGAGTTTCGAAAATGTCAAAATTTTTGCGAAATTTGAAGAAGGGGGGACAATTGAAAAATTTCAATTTTAAAAAAGTTGTCTAAAAATTATGAAAAAATTCAGGGACGTAGATCTCGACACGCTGATTCCAAAAATATAGCATGTTGATGGTCAGGAAGCAACATTTTCGAAAAAATCGCTGCGAAATGCGAATTTTTGAAAATTTCAAAAATTTCGAAATTTCAACGGTCGATTCTGGAAAAACGGTTACAGGTATCAAAAAACCGAAGCCGGATTTGAGTACTAGAGCTTGATATCTACAAAAAAATGTGTTTAGTTGAGTTTCGAAAATGTCAAAATTTTTGCGAAATTTGAAGAAGGGGGGACAATTGAAAAATTTCAATTTTAAAAAAGTTGTCTAAAAATTATGGAAAAATTCAGGGACGTAGATCTCGACACGCTGATTCCAGAAATATAGCATGTTGATGGTCACGAAGCAACATTTTCGAAAAAATCGCTGCGAAATGCGAATTTTTGAAACTTTCAAAAATTTCGAAATTTCAACGGTCGATTCTGGAAAAACGGTTCCAGGTATCAAAAAACCGAAGCCGGATTTGAGTTCTAGAGCTCGAAATCTACAAGAAAATGTATTTAGTTGAGTTTCGAAAATGTCAAAATTTTTGCGAAATTTGAAGAAGGGGGGATTATTAAAAAATTTCAAAAATTTCGAAATTTCAACGATCGATTCTGGAAAAACGGTTACAGGTATCAAAAAACCGAAGCCGGATTTGAGTTCTAGAGCTCGAAATCTACAAGAAAATGTATTTAGTTGAGTTTCGAAAATGTCAAAATTTTTGCGAAATTTGAAGAAGGGGGGACAATTGAAAAATTTCAATTTTAAAAAAGTTGTCTAAAAATTATGAAAAAATTCAGGGACGTAGATCTCGACACGCTGATTCCAAAAATATAGCATGTTGATGGTCAGGAAGCAACATTTTCGAAAAAATCGCTGCGAAATGCGAATTTTTGAAAATTTCAAAAATTTCGAAATTTCAACGGTCGATTCTGGAAAAACGGTTACAGGTATCAAAAAACCGAAGCCGGATTTGAGTTCTAGAGTTCGAAATCAACAAGAAAATGTATTTAGTCGAGTTTCTAAAATGTCAAAATTTTTGCAAAATTTGTAGAAGGGGGGACCATTAAAAAAATTTAATTTTAAAAAAGTTGTGTAATGTCAAACTTGTAGCATCGCCTTCATCTTTGAATCACTTTAACGAAACGCTATCTTGTAAGCTACAACGTTTGAAAACCTCAAGTTTCTCTTATCAGTACGAAATTTTTATTTTGAGGGTGAACCGACCTTATCACAGTTTTTCTTAAACAGAAATTGCGATTCAAATCAAGGCCACTGAATTGCAATAATTGTCCAAATCTCACTAATAGTTGTCTTATCTTGTTTCTAGTTGCTTGTAGAAGCATAACGTCAACATGAGTGCGCGAATTTTGCAGGGGCCTAAACAAAAGAACCTCATTGAGGAAAAAACACTAGGTCGTTTTATTTTCAACCGCTGTACAAAATATTACAATAATCTTTGCCAGGTAAGAACAAGCGTCATTTTGTTACAATCTGAAAAAAACAGAAAAAAACTAGATTGACGGTACCACCGACAAATGCGAAACGTACGGTAGTCTGAAACTACGAGGTACTCGATTAGCCATCGAACTCCAGAAAAGAGGAGTGACATCCAAAGATGTAATTGTAGTGTGTTCCGAGAATACACTTGACGCGGTTATTCCAATCGTAGCAGGTACTTTCATTGGTGCTAAAGTCTCAAACTTGGATCCGTCACTTTCCACAAGGCATATTAAACATTTGTTAAGTTTGGTGGAACCAAGAGTGATTTTCGTCCAAGAATCGTCCATCAAATTAATCGAGGAGTGTATTTTGAATAACGACTTTCAAACAGAAATCATCGTTTTTGGTACTTCGCAAAGGTACTCCCTCTTTTCAGACTTGATTAAAAAACAAGAAAACGAAGACGAATTTGAGCCAGTCGATGTTGACCCCGAAGATATAGCCTTGATGTTTTTCAGCAGCGGTACTACAGGGCTGCCAAAAGCAATTTGTCACTCGAGCAGAGGGTATATGGAGATGGTGACACAAACATGGTGACGACACTTTTTTCTCTGATTGATTGTTATAAGTATTTGTGTATGTTGTAGTCAAATTGGTTGGATTGATAAAGTTTTACACTTTACCACATTCTACTGGATGACAGCGATGATGATCTTCCTTGGATGTTGCAATTTTGGTAATTACAGGGTGTTTTGTCGGAATGCAAGTGGCGAAGACATTTTCAAAATTATTCAGAAATATAAAGTAAGTTGAACGGCTAGATGTTAATTTTCTATTAAACAAAGTGTTGTTAATAGATGTACATTGTGATTCTTCATTTCAGGTCAAGAGTATGTTTATGGCTCCTACTTTAACCTACAAACTCACTCGCGTCGAAAACCCACGAAAATATGACACTTCTTCTCTTAAAACAATCACTGTTGGTGGTACCCCTATATCAGCAGTTCAGATTGAGAAACTGAGTCAAATGTTTCCGACTGCAATAACCTATCAGTTGTACGGTATGACCGAAATAGGACTGATCTCAGGGTTTGGACCAGACGTCGACCAAGAAACGCTTAACAGAAAAATTACATCCTGCGGAAAACTCAGCTCAAACACCAAACTAAAGGTACGACTTTATCAAACTTGAATGTAAACACATCCACCCATATTTCCGCTTTTCTAGGTGGTTGATTTCGCCACTGGAGAAATGCTCCCTCCGAACAAAAAAGGAGAAATATGCGTCTTTTCCCGTTCTCTCATGAAAGGGTACCACAAAAAAGACTCCTCTCAAACCTTCGAGAAAGACGGTTTCCTGAAAACCGGCGACGAAGGGTACTACGACGAAGAAGAATACATCTACATAGTTGAAAGAATTAAAGAAATGTTTAAGTACCAATCGTGGCATATAATTCCGTCTTCGATCGAAACAGTACTGCTGGAACATCCAGCCGTTAAAGAGGCTGTGGTTTTCGGGCTTCCGCACGACGAAGATGGAGATGTTCCAGCTGCTTGTTTGGTGTTGAAACAGGGTGGTAACATTGGAGAACAAGAGATTGACAAGTTTTTGACAGAAAGAGTGGCCGATCGGGAGAGGTTGAGGGGAGGAGTTACTTTTGTGGAAACACTGCCCCAAACCCCCACCGGGAAAATCGACCGGCGACAAGTTCGAGATTTTGTTGTAAACATGAAAAATTAAAAGCGACAAAAAGTTGAACTAAAGCACATATGTTTTTGAAAAAAAGGTGAATTTTATAATAGATTTTTTCTCCTGTTTCTGTATCTCAATTTTTCCTAATATATAATCCGAATTTGAAAAAAAAATCAATAAAAAAAATTATCGTTAAATATAGGCAACCATGTGCACGTTAGCGCTTGGAGGTAGCTGGTAGCTCGCTGGGGGATTTTAGTTAGAAGGTTGGCATGGCGGCATGGTGAAAAGACGCTATAAGTTAGCTAGGTTAAATTAGTTGGCTTGGTAATTAACAAAATGGGGGAAGACTTTGTTTAACGAAAATTAATCGAGGCGACGACGATGCCACAGTTTTCCTCAACACGGGCAGCTAATTCTTGCGGCTTTCAAAATGAATTTTTGAACGACGCTAACACGTGTAAATTTGGTTCATTGTTTGTAAATTCACAGATCAGGTTAGGATTTTAATCGTTAACTGGTTCTAATACAATTTAACAGACATTAGATTTGTTTAGATCAAGTACTTTTATGCTCTGCAGTTTCTAACCTCACGTAATATTTTCATCTGCACAAGTTTTATTTCACACCAGATCTTTGTTTTATAAATCTTTGCTAGTTTTTTTTTGTATTGTAAATATGTTTGTAGGGTTCCATTTTGTTAGACGATCACAGTCAAGGCCAAATTTTGAATTTTTGAATTTTCGCGGGCCTTTCAAACTTTTTCAAGTGTCAATTTAAGGCCGGATGTTTGGGTTATCACACGATTAAATATGAAATCGAATAATTGAAAAAAACGAAAAATTGTAAAATTGGATCTAAAAAATTGATCCATGGACGCCTTCCATCGGGAAAGATGGGTCTAATGTTATTTAGAGCTTCCCTCGCTCCTGAAGTACACACAGTCAAACAACTACTTGGGAAAAAGGAATTTGATTCTTTGCCATGCGTTTAACAATTCATGGAAAATTTAGCAAAATATTGTGCGATAAATTAAGCAGAAATGCAAATCAGTGTGTAAACTTTAAAACAACGACTCTGCAAATATTTCCATAAGGAAATTCAAAATTATGATGATTCCAGATGGATCCTGAATCCGTTTTTGGAAAATTGTTTCCAAATATAAAGCTCAAACTTGAAAACCTTGTTTTTAAAAAACAACCACACATCGCATTAATATTCATTTTTACTTTTTACAATTTTTTTTTACCTAACCGGTTTCGACCATAATTTCTTGCTGTTGCAACTTTCGAATTCTCAATTTTTCGAAATTTTAGTTTGGGGACTTTTCAGTTTACTCCTATTTATTATTCAATTTTTGGATTTTACAATTTCTCAATTTTTCAATTTCTCGGTTTTCAGTGGTTCTCTTCAATTTTACGATTTTTAAATATTTCGATTTTTCAATTAATTGATTTTTCAGGTTTTTTAATTTTTCTATTTTTTCGGTTTTCGATTTTTCAACTTCTCTTTTTTGATTTTTCGATTTCTCAATTTTTCAATTTTTTAATTTCTCAGTTTTTGGACATATCAGTTTTGGGATTTTTCAGTTTACTTATTTATTATTCAATTTTTCGATCTTACGATTTCGCAGGTTTTTGAGTTTTTAATTTTTAGATTTTTTTAAGGTTTCGATATTTCCACTTCACTTTTTTGATTTTTCGATTCTTTAGATTCTCAGTTTTTGGATATTTCAGTTTTGGGATTTTTCAGTTTTTCGATTCGTCAGTTTTTCTTTCATTTTTCAGTTTTTCGATATTTCAGTTTTGGGATTTTTCAATATTTGTGTTCTTTGACTTTTCCCTTTTTGACTTCTAAATTTTTCGATGTGTCGACTTTTTACTTTTTCGATTTTTTATATTTTAGATTTCTCAATTTTTTGGTATTTTAATTTTTCAATATTTAAAATTTTAGATTTTTCGATTTCTCGATTTTTCATTTCAACTCTTCCATATTTCAATTTTTCAAATGTTTCAATTTCTTAATCTTTCGATTTTTCAACTTCCCGGTTTTGGATTTTCTGTTTTTCAATTGCAGTTTTTTCAAATTTTCGATTTTCCAATTAATCGATGTTTTGATTTTCCCATTTCTTGACTTTCGAGGGTTTCAATATTCCTGTTCTTCAATTCTTTAATTTTTCGATTTTTCATTTTTTAGTTTTTTTAAGGTTTCGATTTTTCGACTTCACTTTTTGGATTTTTCGATTGCTCAATTTTTCGACTTTTTACGTTTTTAGATATTTCAGTTTTCGGATTTTTCAGGTTTTCCATTTTTCAGTTTTTCTTTCATTTTTCAGTTTTTCGATATCTCAGTTTTGGGATTTTTCAATATTTCGATTCTTCGACTTTTTGATTTTTGACTCCTGGATTTTTCGATGTGTCGATTATTTTACGTTTTCGATTTTTCAATTTTAGATTATTTAGATTTTAGATTTTTCGATTTCTCGATTTTTCAGTTCATTTCTTCGATATTTGAATTGTTCAAGTTTTCGAATTTTTCAAATGTTTCGATTTCTTAATCTTTTGATTTTTCGACTTTTTCATTTTCTGTTTTTCAATTGTCATTTTGTCAAATTTTCGATTTTTTAATTTTTCAAATTTGACTTTCATAAACTCTCAATTTTTCAATTAATCGATGTTTTGATTTTCCCAATTCTTGACCTTCGAGTGTTTCGATTGTCCTGTTCTTCAATTCTTTAATTTTTTGTTTTTTCAGGTTTTTGATTTTTCAATTTTTCGATTTTTTTAGGGTTTCTATTTTTCGACTTCACTTTTTTGATTTTTGAATTTCTCAATTTTTCGATTCTTTAGATTCTCAGTTTTTGGATATTTCAGTTTTGGGATTTTTCAGTTTTTCGATTTTTCAGTATTTCTGTTCTTCGACTTTTCCATCTTTAACTTCTGGATTTTTCTGTGTCGACTTTTTACTTTTTCGATTTAGAAAATTTTTGATTTCTCGATTTTTCATTTCAACTCTTCCATATTTTAATTTTACAAACGTTTCGATTTTTTTATCTTTCGATTTTTCAACTTCCCGGTTTTGGATTTTCTCTTTTTCAATTGTCGTTTTTTCAATTTTTCGATTTTTTTAGGTTTTTGATATTTTAATTTTTCAATATTTAAAATTTTAGATTTTTCAATTTCTCGATTTTTCATTTTAGTTCTTCGATATTTCCGTTTTTCATGTTTTCGAATTTTTCAAATGTTTTGATTTCTTAATCTATCGATTTTTCGACTTCCCGGTTTTGGATTTTCTCTTTTTCAATTTTTCAAATTTGACTTTCGTAAACTCTCAATTTTTCGATTTTTCAGTTAATCGACGTTTTGATTTTCCCATTTCTTGACCTTCGAATTTTTTTTATTTTTCAGGTTTTTGATTTTTGAAGGTTTCTATTTTTCGACTTCACTTTTTTGGTTTTTCGATTTTTCAGTCTCTATATATTTCAGTTTTAGGATTTTTCAGTATTTCAATTCTTCGGCTTTTCTATTTTTGACTTCTGGATTTTTCGATGGGTCTACCGTTTTACTTTTTCGATTTTTCAATTTTTGGATTTTTAAATTTTAGATTTTCCAATTTTTCAATATTTCTTAATCTTTCGATTTTTCGACTTCCTGGTTTTAGATGTTCTGTTTTTCAATTTTTCGATTTGTTAATTTTTCATTCCCGATTTATCGAGATTTGATTGTTCAGCTTTCCGATTTATCAGTTTTTCAATTTTTTATTTTGGCCTATTTCGGTTTTTGTTTTCTGATAACATCTCTAAAGTAAAAACCAGGAAAATCGATAAATTCAAGAATCGAAACATCGAGATAATGAGAAATCAAAACATTAAAAAATTTAAAAATCTGGAAATTAAAACATAAAAAAATCGAATAATTGAAAAATTGAAAAATCGAGATATCAAAAAATCGAAAGATTTAGAAATCCAAACATCAAATAATCGGTAGATCTCAAATTAAAAAATTCGAAAAAAAGTGAAATCTTAAAAAATCAAAATATCGAGAAATCGAAACATCAAAAATTGAAAAACTGAAAAATCAAAAATAAAAACGAAAAATCGAGAAATTTTTTGGTATTTTTATTTTTCAATATGTATTTAAAATTTTAGATTCCTCGATTTCTCGATTTTTCATTTCAGCTCTTTCATATTTCAATTTTTCAAATGTTTCTATTTCTTAATCTATCGATTTTTCGACTTCCCGGTTTTAGATTTTCTGTTTTTCGATTTTTAAATTTTAGATTTTTGAATTTTTAAAATTTTAGATTTTTCGATTTCTCGATTTTTCAGTTCAGTTCTTCGATATTTGAATTTTTCAAGTTTTCGAATTTTTTAAGGTTTCGATTTTTTTATCTTTTGATTTTTCGACTTTCCGGTTTTAGATTTTCTGTTTTTCAATTGTCATTTTGTCAAATTTTCGATTTTTTAATTTTTCAAATTTGACTTTCATAAACTCTCAATTTTTCGATTTTTCAATTAATCGATGTTCTGATTTTCCTATTTCTTGACCTTCGAGTGTTTCGATTTTCCTGTTCTTCAATTCTTAATTTTTTTTATTTTTCAAGGTTTCTATTTTTCAACTTCACTTTTTTGATTTTTCGATTTTTCAGTCTTTAGATATTTCAGTTTTAGGATTTTTCAGTATTTCAATTCTTCGGCTTTTCTATTTTTGACTTCTGGATTTTTCGATGGGTCTACCGTTTTACTTTTTCGATTTTTCAATTTTTGGATTTTAAAATTTTAGATTTTCCAATTTTTCAATATTTCTTAATCTTTCGATTTTTCGACTTCCTGGTTTTACATGTTCTGTTTTTCAATTTTTCGATTTGTTAATTTTTCATTCCCGATTTATGAAGATTTGATTGTTCAGGTTTTCGATTTATCAGTTTTTCAATTTTTTATTTTGGCCTACTTCGGTTTTTGTTTTTTTTTATAACATCTCTAAAGTAAAAACCAGGAAAATCGATAAACTCAAGAATCGAAATACCGAGATATTGAGAAATCAAAAAATTTTAAAATCTAAACATTGAAAAATCGAA